AAATAACAAAGCCTCAGGGTCTGATGGAATCCCAGCCGAGGTGTATAAAGCAGGAGGGCCTCTTCTTACCAGCCATCTCCACTCTATCTTAGAGAATATATGGGAAAAGGAGGAAATCCCCCAAGTTCTTACAGACGCTTCCATTATCAATATCTATAAGAACAAGGGAGACCGGTCAGATTGTGGCAACTACCGTGGGATCTAGCTGCTGCTCCGTAGATTATCGCCCGAGTCCTCCTAAACAGACTCCTTCCTAAGGCGATAAACTTCCTCCCAGAATCTCTCTGCGGATTTAGACCATCACGTGGCACCACTGACATGATCTTTGCTGCCCGCCAGATACAGGAAAAGTGCATAGAACAGCGTTCTGACCTGTACATGGCTTTCATCGACCTAACCAAGGCCTTCGACTCGGTCAACAGGGAAGCCCTCTGGTGGACGCTCAGCCGTTTTGGCTGCCCAGCAAAATTCACCGCCATTATAAGGCAGCTCCACGATGGCATGAACGGCAGTGTCCTGCACAACGCCATCCAGTCTGAGTTCTTTCCCATCCAAACAGGGGTTAAACAAGGGTGTGTACTGGCACCAACTCTCTTTTCCATTTTCTTGGCTGCCGTTCTTACTCGTGCCAGTGCCAATTTAGCCGGCGGGGTGGACATCGAGTACTGGGTGAAGGGCGGTCTTTTCAACATAAGACGAGTCCACGCAAGAACAAAGGTGTGGGCAGCTTCCATTACTGAACTTCAGTATGCAGACGACCTCACCCTTGTTGCTCTCACTGAACACGACCTACAGGAGATCGTAAACACCTACGCAGATGCGTATGCGCACTTTGGCCTTGAGGCGAATGTACATAAGACTCAGATTCTCTTTCAACCTGCCCCAGGTTCAGACACACCTCCACCATCCATCCAGCTTAACGATACTACCCTCTCGAATATTACCCACTTTCGGTATCTCGGCTCCCACCTGTCCACTACCGCAGACATCGATGAAGAGATTCAGCACCGGATCAGATGTGCATCTCAAGCCTTTAGCGGACTCCGAAACCGTGTCTTCAGCTGTAGGGAGCTGAAATTATCTACAAAGCTGCATCTATTACGAGCATTGGTCCTCCCCACCCTGCTATATGGCAGTGAGGCGTGGGGTCACATACAGCAAGCACCTCAAGGCACTTGAAAACTTTCACCAACTTAGTCTACGCTCCATCCTCCGAGTTTGCTGGGAAGACAAGGGGACAAATGCCCGTATTCTTCCTGACACCAACTGTAGGAGCATCGAGGCTACCATTATCCATGAACAGCTACGCTGGACTGGCCATGTCAACCGCATGGACGACAGTAGACTGACAAAGCAGCTACTTTACAGTCACCTAACGAATAGTAAACGTAACGCCGGCGGGCGACTGAAAAGGTATAAGGATAGTCTTAAGACAAACCTGAAAAAGTGCCAAATCGACTCCCTCACTTGGGAGTCGATTACTCCACATCGTAACGCTTGGAGGAGCACCACGCGTGAAAGTGTCAATACTTTCAAGTTAGCCCGACTGCAAACCGAGGCAGACAAGCGCCAACGCCGGAAAGACGTTGCCACCTCCCCCCCCCCCTCCGCACTAGATGCAGCCCTCCACATGTGCAACGAATGTGGACGATCCTTCGGGTCCCGTATCGGCCTCTTTAGTCACCTCAAAACCCACCAACCTCGGTGACATCCCTTATAACTCATATCATTGTATCATACCTGGATGATCGTCATACTCGACAGCAAATTAGTAGTAGTAGTGTGTGTGGGTGTGGGAATGTTGTGTGTGTGGGGGGGGAGTGGCGTGGGTGTATGGCGCGTTTATGTGGTGTGGATATGTTGCGTGGATGTGTGGTGTAGATGTGTGGCCACAACAATAACAACACCTTGGTTCATCAACAACAACTAGGTAGATCAAGAAAAACAACAACACTTAGAACAACAAAACAAAGACAACTAGATAAATCAACAACAACAGCAACAACATTATATACAGTAGTTTGAACAACATCATTCCGTGGTAGGGGTGTTAAGAGGTCATGCAATATTCCAATGTTGTCTTTCGCTAGTTGTTGATATTGTTGCATTTCTATGTTGCAACGACAAAGGGATTTTAAACGCTGGTCATTTAAATCAAAGTTAAAGTAATTGATTTTTTTTGTTTTTACAGTTTTGTAGTACAATATCTGTTTTTATGAATTTACACAGGGTACAATATCTAAAATACTGAAGTGTTTTAGATACGTCTGTGAGTACGATAAATGTTTTAATATACGTCTCTTGATTACGTTAACTAAGTGTTTTGATACGTTTCTGAGTACGATAACTTAGTGTTTTGATACGTTTCTGAGTACGATAACTAAGTGTTTTGATACGTTTCTGAGTACGATATCTAGGTGTTTTGATACGTTTCTGAGTACGATAACTTAGTGTTTTGGTACGTTTCTGAGTACGATAACTAAGTGTTTTGATACGTTTCTGAGTACGATATCTCGGTGTTTTGATACGTTTCTGAGTACGATATCTAGGTGTTTTGATACGTTTCTGAGTACGATAACTAAGTGTTTTGATACGTTTCTGAGTACGATATCTAGGTGTTTTGATACGTTTCTGAGTACGATAACTAAGTGTTTTGATACGTTTCTGAGTACGATATCTCGGTGTTTTGATACGTTTCTGAGTACAATCACTTCATCTTTGATTAAGATGGCTGTCGCACTCACTGGTCTAATAATAATAATAATAATAATAATAATAATAATAATAATAATAATAATAATAATAATAATAATAATAATAATAATAATAATAATAATAATAATAATCGTTAAAACTTTGCTTAAATAAATGACGCCGAATGAAGATAATTATTGAACTGTGGAAAAAAAATCAACCAAATGAAAGAAAAAAACGAGAAAAAAGTGATATGGGAATGTAAAGGATTTGCTAACGTATATAAATAAAGGAAAGAAAAAAAAAAGGTGATTTTTCGTGATTTTTCAGCTTTAACTCTTTGATGTTTTTTCTTCCTTCAACATTTTTTTTTCGTATTTCTAAATAATCTGTTTGTTTTTTCCTTTTCATTATTTTTCCTCTATTGTTTCCTTTATTTATTTTCTGTTTTATTAAAGTTTCCTCTTCCTTGTTACTTTACTTCTCTCTTCTTCTTCATCTTTTCCTCCTTTCCCTTTCCTTTCCTACTTTTCCTTTACATTATGGAAAACTCGGAAGAACGTTTTAACCCCAGGTGTTAAATTAATCCCAGGTGTCATATAAACCGTGTTAACATTAATCCCAGGTGTCATATAAACCGTGTTAACATTAATCCCAGGTGTCATATAAGCCGTGTTAACATTAATCCCAGGTGTCATATAAACCGTGTTAACATTAATCCCAGGTGTCATATAAGCCGTGTTAACATTAATCCCAGGTGTCATATAAGCCGTGTTAACTTTAATCCCAGGTGTCATATAAGCCGTGTTAACATTAATCCCAGGTGTCATATAAGCCGTGTTAACATTAATCCCAGGTGTCATATAAACCGTGTTAACATTAATCCCAGGTGTCATATAAGCCGTGTTAACATTAATCCCAGGTGTCATATAAACCGTGTTAACATTAATCCTAGCTGTCATATAAGCCGTGTTAACATTAATCCCAGGTGTCATATAAGCCGTGTTAACATTACTCCTCGCTGTCATATAAGCCGTGTTAACATTAATCCATAAAATTCGTAAACACACTTATGTTAAATATTACCATCGTACTCGAGTGTTAAGAGAGAGCTTGTAGATCTAGTACAGTCTCGGTGTAATAACGACGCCATTTTATATTTCTTCGTCGTGTTACTTGAGCCATAGAGGTAAAGTTTTCCAGTGTACGACTGTTAGAGAATTCATCGTTGTGTCGTAACTTAAGTGAGGGGGTTTTAAAATCAACTTACGAACCTTTTGAGATTCCCAAAGGAATTTCAAAAATATACACACACATTATTACACACACACACACACACACACACACACACACACACACACACACACACACACACACACACACACACACACATACACACACGTTCATACGTCTTGGAAGAGAAAATTTTGCCCCCGAGCCGAGTGGGGTGTGGTGATCCGGGGATTCTTCACGTCAACTGGTGAAGCTCTGGAGATTCTTGCTGCCATCTCTGAGTGCTGGAGAGAGACGGAGAGAAAGAGAGGATAAAGAAAAACTGGGGGAGGGTACAGAGGGAATGTGAGAATTGATTGAGAGATTGGGGGATAGGGTGAGCATAGCGAGGTGTAGAGAGGGGGGGAAACGGTGAGCAGGAAGGAGGTGGTAGAGGGACACGGGTGGAGTATAGCGAGGGGTGTAGAGGGGGGACACGGTGAGTATAGCGAGGGTGTAGAGAGGGGGATAGAGATAAGAGTAGATAGAAAGAGAGAAGGGAAGAATAGATAAAGAAAGGATATATATAAAGCGAGAGGCCAGAATCTCTCACAAGTCACATGTCAAAGAGCAGAGAATCATGTGACCAATTGAGATGAAATGAAACCAGAGAGAGACAAACAGAGAGAGAGAGAAGGAGAGAGAGAAATTTGGAATGAAAAGAATAAGAATGAAGCACTTTATGAAGAGATTGAGAACCGGGGAAGGATAAACGATAGAAGAGAGAGAAAAGTGGCAAATAAAGGGAAAGACTAGAGTAAGATGAAAACTATATCCACGAAAAAGTGAAAGGAAAAAAAAAATCTGCGATCTCTCTCTCTCTCTCTCTCTCTCTCTCTCAATAGCACTATCGATCGCTACACATGCTCTCTCATGGCGCTGTGAGTGACGCGGACAAGGGGCACGGTCAGGGAGCATAAACCCCCCTCTCGGTGGCACGGACAAGGGTGCACGTGCCAGTCGCTGCCTAACCCAGCCTCCACTCAGCACCTCAAAAGGAGATTGCAGTTATGAGTCTGATGGGAACTTTGAAGGACCCTCGTGTCCCGCCGACCAGACTTCGCCACCATTCCCCGACCAGAACCCTCGTGTGTCCCGCCGACCAGACCCTGTGTCCTCGCCGACCAGACCTTCAGGTCCCGCCGACCAGACCTCGTGTGTCCCGCCGACCAGAACCCTCGTGTGTCCCGCCGACCAGACTCGTGTGTCCTGCCGACCAGACCCGGTGTCCCGCCGACCAGACCCCTGTGTCCTGCCGACCAGACCCTGCGTGTCCCGCCGACCAGACCTTGTGTCCTGCCGACCTGACCTTCATCTGCCGACAGACCGTGTGTCCCCCACCCTGTGTCCCGCCGACCAGAACCTCGTGTGTCCCGCCGACCAGACCTCGTGTGTCCCGCACCTTGCATGTCCGCCACCAGGTGTCCCGCCGACCAGACCTGTGTCCTGCCGACCAGACCCTGCATGTCCCGCCGACCAGACATCCTGTGTGTCCTGCCGACCAGACCCTGCATGTCCCGCCGACCAGACCCTCGTGTGTCCCGCCGACCAGACCTCGTGTGTCCCGCCGACCAGACCCTTGCATGTCCCGCCGACCAGACCCTCGTGTGTCCCGCCGACCAGACCTTGCATGTCCCGCCGACCAGACTGTGTCCGCCGACCAGACCTCGTCCGCCGACCTGACCTTTGTGTCCCGCCGACCAGAACCCGTGTCCCGCGACCAGACCTTCGTGTGTCCTGCCGACCAGACCTTCGTGTGTCCGCCGACCAGACTCCAGTCCCGCCGACCAGACCCTGCATGTCCTGCCGACCAGACCCTCGTGTGTCCTGCCGACCAGACCCTGTGTGTCCTGCCGACCAGACCTCAGTGTCCCGCCGACCAGACCCCTCGTGTCCTGCCGACCAGACCCTCGTGTCCTGCCGACCAGACCTCGTGTTTCCCGCCGACCTGACCTTGCATGTCCCGCCGACCAGAACCCCTGTGTGTCCTGCCACCAGACCTCGTGTGTCCCGCCGACCAGAACTCCGTGTGTCCTGCCGACCAGACCCTCGTGTGTCCCGCCGACCAGACCTCCTGTGTCCCGCCGACCAGAACCCTCGTGTGTCCCGCCGACCAGACCCTCGTGTGTCCCGCCGACCAGACCTTCGTGTGTCCCGCCGACCAGACCCTCGTGTGTCCGCCGACCAGACCCTGCATGTCCCGCCGACCAGACCTCTGCCGACCAGACCCTCGTGTGTCCCGCCGACCAGACCCTCGTGTGTCCCGCCGACCAGACCCTCGTGTCCGCCGACGACCTGTGTGTCCCGCCGACCAGACCTCGTGTGTCCCTGCCGACCAGACCCTTGCATGTCCCGCCGACCAGAACCCTCGTGTGTCCCGCCGACCAGACCTGTGTGTCCGCCGACCAGACCTCTGGTCCCGCCGACCAGACCCTCAGGCCCGCTGACCAGACCCTCGTGTGTCCCGACCAGACCTCATGTTCCGCCGACCAGACTCGTGTTTCCCGCCGACCAGACCTTGCATGTCCCGCCGACCAGACCTCGTGTGTCCTGCCGACCAGACCTCGTGTGGCCACGACCAGACCCGCTGACTGGTCTCCCGCTGACCAGACCCTCGTGTGTCCTGCCGACCAGACTGTCCTTCTACCAGACTCGTGTGTCCCGCCGACCAGCCCTCCAGACCTGCCGACCAGACCTCGTGTGTCCCGCCGACCAGACTGTGTGTCCTGCCGACCAGACCTCGTGTGCTGCCGACCAGACCTCGTGTCCCGCCGACCAGACCCTGTGTGTCCGCCGACCTGACCAGACTCGTGTCCTGCCGACCAGACCCTCGTGTCCCGCCGACCAGACCCTCGTGTGTCCTGGCCGACCAGACCTTATGTCCCGCCGACCAGAACCCTCAGGTGTCCCGCCGACCAGACCCTCGTGTGTCCCGCCGACCTGACCTGTGACCTGCCGACCAGAACCTCTGTGTGTCCTGCCGACCAGACCCCTTGATGTCCTGCCGACCAGACCCTCGTGTGTCCGCCGACTGACCCTCGTGTGTCCTGGCCGACCAGGACCCTCGTGTCCGTCGACCAGACCTGGTGTCCTGCCGACCAGACCTGGTGTGTCCTGCGACCAGACCCTCGCATGTCCCGCCGACCGACCCTCTGTCCCGCCGACCAGACCTCGTGTCCGCCGACCAGACCTCGTGTGTCCCACCACCAGACCTCGTGTGTCCTGCCGACCAGACCTCGTGTCCCGCCGACCAGACCCTGATGTTCCCGCCGACCAGACCCCGTGTGTCCCGCCGACCAGACCCGCTGACCAGACCTCAGTGTCCCGCCGACCAGACCCTCGTGTGTCCCGCCGACCAGACCCTCGTGTGTCCCGCCGACCAGACCCTCGTGTGTCCCGCCGACCAGACCCTCGACACACGTTATATAAACCAACTGGCCGCAGCGTTTATTTTGGCTATGTACTATACTGAGTTTGGCTGAGCTAATTAGTTTGAGGAGTTAGTGAGTTGGGAAGTTATGAGTGACATTAATATTAGTTAAGTGAGTCATGGGTAATAGTTAGCTGAGTCATGAGTATCAGTTAGGTGAGTTATGAGTATTAGGTGAGTCATGAGTATTATATGAGACATAAGTATTAAGTGAGTCATGAGTATTAGGTGGGTCATACGGTATTAGTTAGTATCAGTGAGGAAGGTTGAGAAGGGGAACCCGTGGCATGGTGGTCACTTTACCAGCTTATTTCACCTTATGATTAACCACCTAACTTAACCTAACCTAACCTAACCTAACCCCCCCACATTACATTAGGGCATTAAATCATCGTGTGAAATAAACTGGGGTACCTAATCATCAGGTAATCCGACCTTGTTATCATCCAATCATTCTCGTCTCCATGGGTATGATTGAGGGAACCTGCACATAAATCGATTAGCCGATCCTCTGGGTTTATGGTGAGCCAGCTTAAATATGTTATCCGATTGGTGTGGGATAAACTACATACTGTGTCTTGGGTTGGAAAAAAATTTTATCCGTTGGTATGACTTCGGCCATGAAAGGAGACATCACTGGAAATGAATTATCTCTCTTGTTAACAATGTATCGTCTCTTATCTCTCTTGTCAACAATGTATCGTCTCTTATCTCTCTTGTCAACAATGTATCGTCTCCACTTCTAAATTAAGTCAAGTTTATTTTCTGCCCCTTCCGTATGAGGACCAAATATTAAGTTTCTCCACCACCACTTAACTTAAGAAGCCCTCCCCATTGAAAGTTTTAGAATAACGTAAGAGTTTAAGAGGTTGTAAAGTTTGGGGCGTTGAAAAAAATAAAATAAAAAATATATAAGGAAGAGACTGCGAGCACAACCCGGAATTAAAATTTTTGAACCTTTACCACGGGAAGTTATTTACATTAGCCATACCTGACGAGGAGGAATTACGACTGAGGGTAATACGTTGGCCTCCAGAGAGAGAGAGAGAGAGAGAGAGAGAGAGAGACTAAAGATTAGGTGTTCATCCCTGGCCAAGAGTTCTCCTCCCTGGCTCATCAGATTCTTAATGAGAGCCTTGTGTAGGAAAACCCAATGTTTGATCTAGGTACACGATGACTACTCACCCACCCAAGCTCACTTCACTTGGTTTTTGGCGGATTCTTGTTGGATTTATCTTGTGGATCGAAATATTTTTGTCCCTTGAGCTGTACGTCTCTCGTTTTGTTTGTTTCTTTCTTTGTTTCATTCTTTCTCTATTTATTTATGTATTTATTTATTATTTTACTTTAGGATAATACTGATGCTTCTGCCCATTACGACCATAGGAGTTATATTTTCTTGGATAAAATTTGATTATGGGGATAAAATTACCTATCTACCTGCTTACCTGTATCTTCCTCTCTCTTTCTCCTCTTAGTTTGCTAGAAGTAGGGGTAGGTAGTAGCAGTTGTGGCAGGACTGTGTGGTAGGTGGCAGTTGGCATGGTAGGGTAGGGTATGGGGTAGGGGTAGGGTAGGGTGGCAGGGTAGGTAGGGTAGGGGCGGGAGAGGGTAGGTGGATATGTAGCGTAGGGTAGGGTACAGGGTAGGTAGGGGCAGGGTAGGGTAGGTAGGGCATGGTAGGGTGAGGTAGGGTAGGTAGGATAGTAGAAGTGTAGGTAGGGGTAGGTTGCAGGGTAGTAGGGTAGGGTAGGGCAGGGTAGTGTTGGGAAAAATGAAAGTTAAAAAGATCTTAAAATGGCTTATCCTCGCCATTGTTTACTCTCCAGAAAACCTTAACTTTCTAAATTTCGTTCATGTAATCTTGAAAAGTCTACTTGTCTTTAAAGTTCTTTATTCCTCCTCCCTCCGTCCACAACATCAAGCTAACTCTTCCCTGCTCTCTGTCGCCGCCACTCAGACATTAGGAAACTGGCATTAAATCCAAATAAATGTCCCAGAACACGAGAGCCGTAATTGCTATTTTGGGAGGGAAGATAATGTAGATATCTAGCAGAGCTGACACACACGACAAGCACTAATTACAACAAGCTTGTTCTTGGCTTACTGTGGAACCAAAATTAAATTCCATGGAAATGCAAGCGTGTCCACACAAGCTGTACGTGGACCCTGCACTTGTGTATGTCCTGGGGGGCTTCCCAGACAACATGAGCCCTGTTATATTGGCTTTAGTCAGACATTACTCTTAAAAGTTATGTGGTACTTGTCTTCATTGTTCGGTTGAGGCTATATCACCGCATTGGCTAAGAAAAGATTCAATATTCATTCCCTCTGTAAGAACGAAAATTACAGTGATTGTTTTAATAACATAGAAAAAGGAACTAACTTGTGTCTGTAGGAATCTAAAAGGTCATTGTGCTCCAAGATGTAAACACAAACAAAAAAACAAAAATACATGCGGGGTAAGAATTTGCATGCAGATTATAAACATGACATTCGTCCCTGGTATCGAGCTGCTCTTGCCCAGTTGGAAAATTTCGTAAGAAGTGTAACATTACCAGGAGTGGGTAGACGATTAAACCCGCTATAATGGGTACAGGTAGCATAGTGTACTCTCCCGCGGCATTGTTACGCTCAAGTGAGGCAAAGAACAATTTTCCAGAGCGCTGTATCGGCGAATCTAATCGGTCGACGGGCAAAATGTCCAGAGCAGAGAGGAAGTCAAGTGAAGGAGCCTGATAACACGACTTGGAATTAGTGACGAGGTTCGGCATTGTTCCTCTAAAGTGCTAATAGTAGGGACCTCTGGCCAGGGCTCTCTGTAGGAAGGGAAGGAGGGAGGTACTCTGGCCATCATCATGGTGGGGAAGTGTAAGAGGTGGAGGAGGGGGGAGAGGGGGGTTCCGGAACCTACATGATATAAGGGCAGGTTACAATATCCCGATGTGAGTGTGTGTCTGTCTGTGTATGTGTAAAAAAAAATTCCTTTTGGTAGGCATGGTTCAAGAATCAAAATCTCACCAAACAGTAACAAGCCACCAAACATCCACAACCACAGCCATCCCCCTGCCAACGCCCATAAGGTCATTCCATAAAGCACCACCGTCAATGACTAGACATAAAGGGAGAGGGGGGAAGGCGTTCTTAGTCATAACGCACATTATTGAGTAAAGGTGAACGTCAGACCAAGTTGATTTCCTGGCGTTTGGGGCAGTTTTATACATAAATATTTTGTTTTATGGTTCAGACCTAACTCCTACACTAAAAGCCGGACGAGCAGTGTTTGCGGTGTCGTATTTGTTAGGTGTGTTGCCGGGGGTGACCTTCTCCCGGCAAGTGTCTTGAAGGAGTTTCCTACAGGTGGAGAGAGGGAAGGAGGAAAGGAAAGAGAGGAAGACGGCGAAGAGGCATGGAAATATGAAAGGATGGACAGAGGGAGGGTGAGGAAGGAAGAAAAAATGGAAGAAGAGGAGGTGAATAGGAGGGAAAGAAAAACAGCAAGAGAGGAGGGAAGGAAAAAACGAAAGGAGGGAGGAAGGGAGGGAAAGATGAAAGGATTGATGAAGGGAGAGAGGGAAGGAAGGAAAGAAGGAGTGAGAGAAAGAAAAAAGGAGGGAGAGCAGGGAACACGTCACACTATAAAGCCTGTTTGTATGTTGTGGTGGTAAATGACAAAACTCCGGAAATTTCTACGTTTTTGCCCTTTTTCTGTTACTATGTTCTGTGTGTGTGTGTGTGTGTGTGTGTGTGTGTGTGTGTGTGTGTGTGTGTGTGTGTGTGTAGGAGAGAGAGAGAGAGAAATTAATATCAAGTACGACAAACCGAACGATAAAAGCATGACAGAAACGAGAAAGAAAGAAAGAAAGAAAGTGTGAAAAAGAGAGAAAGAAATTTAAAAAAATAAACAACTAAACAATTTAACTCATACATGAAACAAACACGACAAGCAAACAAATGACAAACACAGAAGCAGTGAACGAATTAACTTGAAAGCAAATTGACAGAAAAAACAGAGGTAAAATGAAAACAAATCCAGAGAAATATGAATGAGGAGGAAGAAGGAGAGGAGGAAGAAAATGAGGAAGAAGGAGAGGAGGAAGAGGAGGAAGAAAATGAGGAAGAAGGAGAAGAGGATGAGGAGGAAGAAAATGAGGAAGAAGGAGAGGAGGAAGAGGAGGAAGAAGATGAGGAAGAAGGAGAGGAGGAAAAGGAGGAAGAAAATGAGGAACAAGGAGAGGAGGAAGAGGGGGAAGAAGAAGGGGGAACTGGATTAAAAGGAGGAAAAGTGTGATATTCCAAAGCCAATATCCTGAGCTTATTCATGCGTGTATAAACTCATATCCATGGCTTCCCAAACTCTCCCACGCCCTCTTGCACTCTCCCACGCCCTCTTACACTCCCCCACGCCCTTTTATGCTCTCCCACGCCCTCTTATACTCTCCCACGCCCTCTTATACTCTCCACGCCCTATACCCCCTCACGCCCTCCACATTCTCCCACGCCTTCTTACACTC